CACCTGGGCGGGGCGGGGGGAGGTTCTCAGGAGACACGTTGACTGGATCACCTACCAAAAACACCTTAAATGTGATTAGCAGTGTGATCCCTTCCCAAGAGCATGGATCCTCAAGCTACGGCCCAGGGGCCAGATCCGGCCCACCACGGCCACTCATCTGGCTGCCTCGGAGGCTTTCCATGGGCCAGGCGCACGCGCCACGCATGCACGCCACCACCCGTCTTGCCCCGCGCATGGGGAGGCAGCGGCAGCTTGCTCACGAGGAGATCATTTTGGGCTCACATGGAGAAGATGATCTCAAGCGAGCAAGCCACTGCATTGCTGCGCGTGCCTGCCCCCACCTTGCCTCACCCCCCCTCGCCACGCATACCCCCCTCGCCTCGCGCACCCCCCCGCCTCAGCGCGCACGCCCCCCTCCCACACCAGCCCCTGCGCCCAGCACTGCCTTTCTGGCCCGCACCCAACACCAGCACCTTGCAACTGGCCCCCTGGTGAAAACGTTTGAGGGCCCCTGCCCAAGAGCACCGATGGACTCAGTGCTACGTACTTCTGCGTAATATGTGTGGGATTCCCCTCTGCGTTTTGTAAAATTAAAATATAGAAATAAGTGCCAGCCAAGCGCCCACCACTCTGTCCTCCGGCCAGAAGTGTGCGGCATGCGTGCCAAAGACACAAAATCGGGTGTGCCCACCAGCGAGGATGCTCACCCGCGTGTCCTGAGCAGCGGGGCAGCCACGAGGCCTCTGCCAGCCCTGCGGCACCAGTGGCCAGCCGGAGCAAGGCAGGTGGCGCCACGTGCAGGGAGGCGGGGAAATGCTCCTCCACACATGTCGCTCGGATCAGGCCGTGGCAGAAAACCAGGCTGGAGGAATGGCTTCCCCCTGTTCCCACTCCGTGCCGTCTCTGTCCTCGGGCCTTTCTGCCTCCAAAAAGACATGACCCTACAGATAAAAGGATGTAAATTTAGGAAAGCTAGGGTGTTTCTGGAATATTTGGTCCACGGATGGATCTTCCAGTGAAAGGAGGACCCTGTCAGGATCTGCAGTGGCACCGCCGGCCGCGGAGTCCCCCTGCCGGGGGAACGAGCCGCACCCCCCCATGTGCCTGGCCAAGGCAGGCAGGCGTGTCGCGGGCGCTTCTCATGATGGTTTGCAATACTGTGCCTCGCTGATTTCTCTCTTCCCTGCTTCTCTTCCCTGCTCTTTCTCTATTAAGCCCTTGAGAAGTGAGAAATGCCTTGCCTTCCAAGTGATGCCTTGCCTTCCAAGCCCTGATAGATATTAGAGAGAGAAAAGGGATGAGATGGGGTTGATCTTCCTGAAAGCCTGACAAGGAAGATCAGCCTTGAGCAGCTTCGCGGCGCGGGGACAAATCACGTCTGGGCTCCTAAGCCTCCCTGGCTTTGCAGGGCCGGGCTGCCCGCTGCCCCCCTCCCTGGGGCTCTAGCCAGCCGCTCAGGCTGAAGTCTGCCGCTGGGGCCAGGCAGGGAGGAAATCCAGGCTGGCCTGGCCCGCCGCTGCCGCCGCAACTCACGCAGCCTCTTTTACCAGAGATTGGGGCTTCACTTATGCCTCACACCTGAAAAATGCTGTGCTTTGGAAGGGATTAGAGCTGAAAAATTTCAGCACTTCAGAAAAGAAAAGAGCATGGAAGGAACTGCAGAGCCCTGCGTGCCCGAGGGCTGTGTTTTGGGCTGTGCAAACACGGTTCGCTTTGACCTGTGACGCGCCTTTTCCGTCCCCGCGGCTACCTGAGAGCCCCTTGCTCCTTGGATGAGATGCCAAAATCCAGCCGTTGCACCAGTTCAGCTTCCCTGGAGGGCTCCTGGAGCCACGACGGGTTCGCCTGGGTCCCGGAAGCCCCCAGAAGACTGGGAGACGGCAGGTCCTGACAGCCGGGGGGCGCTGGACCTCGCAGCTTTCCTGCATCGCCCTGGAGGGAAGCCAGTGGAACGGTGGCCACTGCGCTGGGGGGGGAGGTGTCCTGTGGGCACTGGGGGAGGACTGTGGTGGAGGGGAGGATGGGGAGCCCCTGTGTGGAGGCGTGGGGCAAGCGGGACCTGGAGCACGGTGGGGTGTGCCTGGGACAGGCAGGGCAGCCATGGCGGGGGTGTCGATGCTGCAAAAGGGCAACCAGAAAAGTAACAGCAAAGGGTGAGGCCTTTCCACCTTTTGAAAAGCTAGCAGGGACCAGGTTTTAAAAAGAAATAGTTGGCAGCCATGGGCCACCCTTCCAGTGAAGGCAGAAGGGGAAGGTGCAAAAGCAACCCTGCGACTGGACATGAAGAAACCGAAAGCCGTGACTCGGGGAGGATGCCGTACAACGTTAAGGCCAGCGATGGAGCAGCTGGAATCAGCTCAGTCACCCGTTCGAGAGGCTGCAGCCACGAAATTCCAAGAAGACCGAGACCGGAAAGGGCAGCACTGAGGGAGCCAAAAAGGCCATGAAGGATGTTTCCCTGGAGACAGACCTTCCACCCTGTTGCGCTGCTGATCCCGATGGCTCGGTGTGAAAGCCGGGCAGTGAAGAAAGCTGGCGGGAGGAAAACTCGTGCGTTCGAAACACGGTCCCGGAGGAGAGTGTTGTGACTCCCTGGAGCAACAGAAAGGCCGGCGAGGGGATCCTGGATCAAGTCAAGCCAGAGCTTTCCCAAGAAGCAAACATGACAACACTGAGATGCTCGGACACATCATGGGATGGCACTGAAGGATGCCCTGGAGAAGGCAGCCGTGCTGGGGAGAGGAGCAGAGGAAGAGCAAACACACAGGAAGCCGCAGCCCGGAGTCTGCAAGAGCCAAAAGCTGGAAGGGATTAAAGATGAGGGACCAGGCCGTTGGGAGGGCATTCATTCCCAGGGTTGCCATCCGTTGGAGACAGCCCGGCAGCACATCACAGCCACAACCGTGGGCCACCCCAGCAAGGTGCCCCTCCGGCCAGCATGGACAGCAGCAGGTCAGGCAGGAACACGCAGCAGTGGCTCCCAGAAGGAGCGCCGACGCCACTGCTACCCCGGAGGCGTCTTGCAGCTAGTCTGCCTCCGCATCGCTCGAGGATTTTTCTGCTCAGTGATAGAAGGAGAGAGGGAAAACTTGGATGGGCTGCGAACTGAAGGCAGCATCTTCTGGGCACTGTGTGCAGTTCGGTGATGAGGCAGGGCGCTTGTGCACCAACGGCCTGTCCAGAAGCACACAGCTCCTTGCCTTTAAAAAGAAACACATGTTCTGCACTAGGAGACCTCAGCATCCCCAAGCCATTCTGAGTTCCCTGAAAGACCAGCTAGAGAGTCGTTTGAGTGCCGCGTGCTTCTCTTTAGCTGAAAGTCCCCCTGATACTGAATATGAAAACGGCCGCAGCTGTGCTTCCTCTGAGAGTTAAGCTTGTCAGCAAAGCTCTCCTGAACCAGGCTTGGAAAATAAGTCAGGCTTTATAAGCCCTGGAATTTTTCTCACCTTTGGATTAAAGCTTCTGCTCCAGATTTCTCCTACTGAAAGTAAAGAAGCCACGTGAGTGGCTTCCCCTGTGAGCAAAGGTGGCAGCAACTCAGACTGCTTGGCTTAGAGAAAAGGTAAGAGAAGGAGAGAGACTGAGCCCGCTGATATTATGCTTGGTGTACAGAAGGTGGGGAGGAGGTGTTTTTCTCCCTTCCCTGTAACACCCAAACCCGAAGGGCCACCCCGTGAAGAGATTCAGGACTGGCCAAAGGGAGGCCCTCTTCACACACGGCAGAGGTCAGCCGCAGAATTCACTGCCACAGGAGGTGGTGATGGCACCTGTTTAAGGGGAACAGGTTGACTTGGCAAGAGCTCCTGAGTTCCCCGGGATTCCCGAGCTAAGGTGGAGGCCCCTTTGAAAGCGCGTTCCTCTCTAGCGAATGCACGCACGTGCCATGTTGGTGATGGTCATGCACTTCTCTCCCCCTCTTAATCCTCTTGTGAGGAAAGCCAAGGCGGCTTGCGTAGCTGCGTGTCATCCTCACTGGGGCCGGAACCCAGATCCCCTGGGTCCCCCGCCCGAGCCTCTCGCCTCCACGCCGCTCGGGCTTATCCGTGCTCATTGCCGCCGCCGTGGGAGACTCTCTCAGTATGAGCATGCATTTTGGTAAGGATGGAAGCAAACGGCAATTTACACAGGCGTACAGTAGTCTGAACGCTTCAGGAAGCAGACGCACAGTGGGACCCCGCTGCCCGTCGACAGGGCTGCCTGCATCGCAGGGACAGTGTGGGCAGCCCGCACCTGGGGGCCGCGGAGAGGCGGGGAGCGGGAGGAAGGTTACGGAAGCAGGCACGCTGGCCCGAGGGTGGGGTCCCTTGGTGCAGACGGGATTTGCTCCTGAGCAAGCCGTTAGGGCCCCAGCCCACTCCCGTGCGAATCGTGCCCACCGGACGAAGGGCGCGGGGCTCCTGCACGTGGCTGAGCACCCGGGGGGCACAGGGTCTGCTGTTCTGCATTTGTCTCCATGAAAGAAGCGCAGCGGCCCCGTCCCGCAGGGGGGGACCTGCGGTGCTTCTCCACGTGCGAGGAGGCCCGTTGCCCGTGAAGCGCCTGCCGCTCGCTTGCCAGTGCGCTGCTGGCAACACGTCGCAGCCAGCATTGCTGCTGCCTCTGCCAAAGCGCCCCCTTCTTGCGCCCGGGGTCGCGCAGCAGTGTGGCATCTGCTGTCAGAGATCCAGGCCCCTCCCGCCTCCCAGCCTGGTGTGGAGCTGCTCAGGTGTTCAAGGCAGGCATGTGCGTCATCTGTTTGCTCTACTCGCAAAAGCTCTGTAAGGCAGGTCAGTGTCATCTCCCTCCATTGTGGGTCAGCCTTGCAAGCAAAGTTGCTCCCGTTGCTTTAGACGAAAGGACTCATCGTCCTGTGCCACCTGGGGCTGATGGAGACTGCAGTCCAAAGCATCTGCAGGGACCCGGGCTAGAGGGGGTGGCCATGGACGTCTTGCCTGCAGCCCCCTAGCGAGTCCAGGGCCGCAGCTGACGTCCGCTTTCCCTCCTTTTCTCCCCGTTAGGTCGTGACATGGCAAGCACCACCCTGCCTGGCTACCCACCCCACGTTCCACCCACCGGACAGGGCAGCTACCCCACCTCAACTCTGGCAGGAATGGTGCCTGGTAAGTCCTTCCTCGCGTCGCGCGCTCGCTCGGGGTTGTTTCAGTGGCGATCGGCAGGAGAACCGTGTGCCGGACTCCCGGGTTTGCCTTGCTACAGGGCGCTTCAGTAAGCCTCCCGCAGCTGGCTCAGCTTCGCTTGCATCATTCTGCATTTGAAATTGGCCCCTGTGACCCCCTCGATCCGGCTTGATCTCGTCGCACTTTTGACACCACGAAGCTCGTTCTGGAAGTAGCCTTGCATGACTGTGATGCCCTGCAGCTCCCAGGCAATTTTGTCGTGGGGTGTCGCAGGATGTCGTGTCGCCCCAGTGCTCCCGAAAACCGTCTCTGTGAAGCAACTGGGCCCAGTGAGGAGGAGGATTGGGGCGAGCCCTGAGAATCCTGAGACTAAATCCCTGATAAGACAGTTGGGCAGCTCGCGGGCACCGGAACCGGGGGCTTGCTGTGAGGGCGCTCCCGGATCCACCGCTGTCGCAATGAGGAGTGCCTGCGACCACCTCCCCTGCGGGTCAACGGCACCCCCTCCTGGGCAGGGGCAGCCCAGCCCCGCCGTCCATTCATTGGTAGCCGTGGGGCAGCTCCCTCTGGCCGTTGGCATATGCAGCCCTGAACAACTGGGGCCAAGTCCCCTGGCTGGTTGCCTCCCCAGTGGAGACCCGTGTCACTGAGGGCCATCGGAGGGAGGCCTGTGGGGTGTAAATGGCCACCTGGACACTGCCCGGAAGCAGGCTTCTTGCAGGGTGGTCTCCCCCACCCCAGTATTCGGAAAGCACCCCCTGGGGTGAGTTTCAGATGCCTGATCAGGCTTTACCTGATCGGTTGTGGTGCCATGGTTGTTAATTCGTGTGTGCCGTTGCAGGTTCTAAGCAGTGTTTCAACTGGATCACTTCTGTATTTATTATAGTGTGCTGTAATGTTGGACTTATAAAGCTCTTTCAGATAGATGTGTTCGCATCGTGTAAGCGGCTATAGGAACCAATACCATCGAGAAAGGTGTGCCGGCTCGGTGCAGTGGCGACTCTCGCAGGCCGCTCATAGTTGAGCTGCGCAATTGCTGCGGCTCACGCACGGCAGGGAGCACATCGTGCTTCTGTGAGCTTGGAGAAGTGCCCCCCCCCCCCGCGAAGGGCAAGCGGCTGATGCCCGGGGGTGGGCCAGGAAGCCGAGCTTGGTACTCCCGGCAAACCGAGGCGAGAGCCACGCTCAGAGCTGCCTTGAAGGGTGCTCCCCTCCCTGGGGGCTGGAGGGGAAGCAGCGTCTGCCGCCCCCACCGCTGCCTGCACACGTGCTCCGCGTGTGCATTTGCAGAGCATGAAAAGAAGACGTGCAGGGAGCGAACGCTGCCAAAATGCCAGAAGTCTCGCCCAAAGAAAACCACATCTGGGCCGGGCAGCCCCATAGCTCTCCCGCCCGTTTGTTACAGTTTTGTTTGTTTAATGAGCTCTTCGGCCACCTTTCATGGCAAGGCCCTTCCAGAGTGGCTTCCAGGGGATAATGAGGTTTACAGGCACAGCAGAGGTATTATGCCTCAGAAGGATTTCTAGCCCAGGCACCCACCCGGCGGCCTGCGCTTTACCCACCCACCTCTGCTCTCCTGCTGTGTGTGTGTGTCCACAAAGGTTTTTCTGGCAATTGTGCCCCTTTCACACCACTGGCCTCTTGGACAGTCGGATGCCTTTGTCAGTGAAACTTTGCTGTGATGCCAGGCGGTTCTGACAGAGAAGGGGCTCCTGGGGAAGGCTTTCACCGCTCTCTCACCCTGCTTCTTCCATGGAGCTTGCCCGGGATCCAGGGATCACAAGCTGCTGTGAGTGATGGCTGCTTATCTGTTTCATCCCTCTTTCCCCTTAACACAGGGAATGTGTTCAGGAGAAAAAACCGGGGCAGCTGCACAAAACCTTCTGGGGGCTCTGCCAGGGGTCCTCCCCACGCCCGGATGCACCCTGCTCCCATCTGCACAAGCTCCGGCTCTGCATTGTTGCTGAGAAGGGGGCATCTGGAAAGGGAGATCTTGGGATCTTTTCCACTCCCAGCAGGGATATAAAGGCCTGGAAAGGAGCTCGGGGAAAGTCCCTTCTCCGAAGCCAGAGAAGGCTGCCTGGTGCTGCTTCCTTCCCACCCTTGGTCTCTTCACTAGAAATAACAGCAAAGCCATGCCCGGCCTCTGAGCCGGGGGGCCGCTAGGGCAGCCCGGGCCACCCTGAAGCCTCGGAAGGGATGCAGAGGCACCTTCTCGAGCTCATTGGCCAGCATGTCCCCTGTCTATTTCCCTATATCGACAACATTTGTACACCACCACCAAGACGAAAATCTCTGGGTGCCTTTCAGTTAACAAAGATGAAAACCATTTAAAAACAAAGTAGGACACAGACTCGTAACGTCAAAAGTAGCGTAAAATATGGTGTCCAAACAGGAAGCCCCTGCCATTCGGAAGCGGGACCTGGGCAGGCCGGGCCTGGCATGCCCACAGGCCCTGTCGTGTTTGGATGTGGGCGTCCCCCGGGGCTGGCGTTCTGCCTCGGAGCCACAGGCACTGCAGGAAAACCCCGGGACCAGCAGAGAACAGGCGCGAGCTGCGAAGGGAGCAGTTAAACAGAATCCAGTGCTGATGAGGAAATTACATGTGTTTCATTAGTGATCGGGGAAGGAGATAGCTCAGTTCCTCTTGGTCACAGTTGAGCTCAAAAGCTCATTATCCTGCAGCACGTTTCCTTTCACTCCTCGTCAATAAACACCTTTCACACCCGCTGCTTCTCCCTCCCTGGCTCCCCTTGACTGCTCTGCAGAGAGAGCGAGAGAGCGCCTCTTTCTCCTCCACCTGCACTTCAGAGCCACTGCAACAGTTGAGGGCGACAAATGCGGACGGAGAGCAGGGAGCACCCGAGGCGTCTTTCTGCAGAAGCAAGCGGCTTTGCCGTGGGGAGCAGCTGTCCGTCTGCTGGGGCTGAGCTTCTCCGGGACGCAGGCGTGGCCAACCCTTCGCGCTGCAGGGCCAAGTCCAGCCGCAGGGAAGCACATGGGGCCACATCCGGGATGAGGCATGAGCACAAGGAGGCCCGGCCAGAATCGCCGGCCGGCTCTGGCTTAAAGATGCCTCTGCTGCTGGGGAGGCTGTAAGGGAGACATGCCAGCCTTTTGGAAGGATGAGACGGGCGACACCGGGCGGCCACTCTGGGCACAGGCCGTGCAGTCCGTAGCCCAGCCTCACGGGGCAATGCGTATTCGGAAATCCCAGGCAGCTTCTCTCCTTCCAGTCCAAACTGGCCCCCGCGCCCTGACGCACATGCCACCAACGTCCCGTCTCACCCACAAGCGCATCACCTCCAGACGCCAGATGTGAAATCCGGGCGGGGGATCCTGTGGGAAGGGGGGGTTCTGGCTGTGGGCATCAGGTGGCACCAGAGACAACGAGGGCACCGGAGGAGCAGCGGGCCAGGGCGATGCTGCCCCGCCTCGGCAGAGAAGCCCCACTTCGCGCCGCCCCTCGGAGCGCTGCCCGCGAGTGACTCACCGCCCTTTCCTCTTTCCAGGGAGCGAGTTCTCAGGAAACCCCTACAGCCACCCTCAGTACACAACCTACAACGAGGCCTGGAGGTTCAGCAACCCTGCCTTGCTCAGTGAGTATCTCCTCCTCCGACCTGCTGTGCCCCCACCCCCCGCCCCCGCCCGTTGTCCCCTCATCTTCTTCCCCCACTCGACTCATCTCTGTGCTGCTGGAGAGGGAGGGGCACAGCCTGGGGAGGCGGTCCAGAGGGGCCGGGCTCCCTCTCCCTGGCTGGGCCCAGGGCCCGGTTCCACGGTGGACAGCCGGGGACGGCCTGAGCCTTCTCTCCAGCCGACCGCTCAAGGGGACAGCCCGGCCGGGGCTGCCCGGCCCGGCCCACCGCACATGAGAGCCTGCACATCTGGCGCAACGGAGGAGCCTGTTGCTTCGTGCCCGTCATGCCAGCTGTGGCCGGGGGCATCCTCAGGACCCCTCCGCCACACATCTGGGTGCACACGCAGGCACCTGCACACAGCCATGGGGTGTAGCGGGGGCCCTCGGACCTTCGCAGAAGAGTGGCTCATGCCCACCCGAAGAGCCTCTGTGTCCCCCATTCCCCCCACCGAGAAGGGGTCTCCAGAGGCTGTGAGGGGGAGGGGCCGTGAAATGTTCTGTTGCCGCCTCAGCCCCCTATGGGAAAATAGGTGAGGACTTCAGGGGAGGCCACAAGCCACAGGCGCTGGCCTCCTATCTGGGGAGCCTTCTGCCTCGATTGCTCAGATCTCCATCACGGAACAATGACAGGCAGGGCCATTAAGTGCCCATCCTCCGTGTCCCCCATTCCAGCTGTTAGAGGAACAAAGAGCCATTGTTGACTTTTCAGAGAACTTGAAATGGTTCAGAAAAGGAATTTTTTCCTGTAGAGTACATGAATCCTGTAGGTGTTTTCTGATAAGCAGGTGTCGTAGGTTTTTGTAGTGTTGCAAGAGTCAGAGAAACCTGCTTGCCTGGAAGCAACAGTGGTGCCCCAGAGTGTGTGTGAACCGCGTGGGGAGCGATGCGGGGATCCTGCGGTTCTCTTGAAGCCAGGCTGCCCTGGCCACGGGCCACAGTTCAGTGGAACAGGCGGCGCGTTGCCCCAGCCGCGACCCCGAGCAACTCCGGGGAGGGCTGTGGAAGAGCGACTGCCAAGCCACTTGCCGCTCTCCGCATCACACACTTGTGATGTGGTTCGTCGACCGCCATGGCATCCTCGCCCACCCTGTGGGCCGGCGGGATTCACCCCGCTGCCCTCCCGGCGGCCCCTGGGGCACCTCCTCACCTGCCCCTCCCAGGCCGACTGCGGGGCCAGCTTGCCCAACAGGCCACGGTGGCTCATTCTGGCTCCGGGCCTCCTGGCCAGACTCCCCAGCTGTGGCTTCCTGGGCTCGCACACCTCGGTGGGGGAAGAGGCCCTCAGCTCATCTGTGGGCGACTGCTGGGCCACCTGGCCATGGCGGGCCTCGCAAGCAAGCCGTTCCACTCTGGCCCAGGCCACGTGGCAAGCCACGGCAGGGGTGTGCAGCAGAGGAGGAAGCAGCCCCCGTGGCCTCTCGGTCAAGGGGCTCCTGGGACGCAGCAGCATCTCCGGGCTGGCCAAGCTTGGACTCCACACATGCTCACCCTTTGCCTCCGGTTCTTCTCCGCATTTGGTGCGTGGCAGGCGCACAGATGTGCCCCGAGGTGCAGGCAGGAGTGCTGGAGAGGGACGCCTGGGGCACCTCTGGAGCAAAGCCGGCTCAGCACGGCTAAGGAGAGCTGTGCTGCCTGCACACACGCTGCCCGAGGGCCCAGTGAGGAGCCCGCTAGCCCTCCGGTGGCCCCTGTGTGCGGCGTGTCCTCTGAGGCTGTTGCTCCGCGTGTCTCAGCGATACGTTCGCGTGCGGCACCAAGGAGTTCCCTTCCGGTGCTCAGAGCCACCCGGAGAGTTGCGGCCCCCTCCTGCCCCCGGGCAGAGTCCCCCGCCCCCCGCGTGCCTGCGCCGTGTTGTGACTCCCACGCGTCCACGGGCCCAGTGGCACGTGGCCACCCCTGGGGTTTCGCTTCACCTGGCCACCCATGGCCACGGGCAGAGGCCGCCGTGGGGCCTCAGTCCCACAAGCGTGTCTGGATCAGGCCCGCGGTGCTGGCCTCCGCCGTGCCCTTGCTGCCTTCGGAGGCCTCCGCTGCTTACGGAGCCATTCATCCTAATACAGAACAGATCTGAGATGAGAGGCTGCAGCTCTCTAGGGGCTCTTCCCATTAGTTGCATCTCTTTTCTGCATCTGATTAGCCCCTCGCTTCTGCAAAGTTTACGCTGTAAGCACTTTAGGAATGGGAGTGTGTTGAGCATTTGTTTTTTGGGCAAACTGACTGTGCAAACAAGAAGTCCACCTCCAGGAACGTCTTTCTGGCAAGCGGTGGGGTCTTGGGGGCTTCTCGGGGAAGCTCTTCTACATACCCTTCTGCTCTCACAAAACTCAGCAGCCGGCTAGTTCCTCTCTCCCATCCTGTGAAGTGGAGCAGCTGCTGTAGCCCCGTGATGTGGCTGGAAAGCCACAGGAAGAGGCTGGGCAGGCGCTCACCCAGCAGGTGTGGGTGAAATGGACTTGGCCTCGAGTCCCGGCTCGGCCTCTGGCCCCAGTTCCCCCAGCTGTAAGAGGTAAATTGACTCTCAGGGCTGCCGTGGGGATGCGTGAATCAAGGATCAGGCAGCATGTTTAACACTGGAGCTGATCAGGAATTACTTTTACTCATCATTTTCCATAATGAAAATAATTCATTATTATTGTCATTATGGGTCCAATAACTGCAGACCCAGGTCATTCTCAGGTGGAACCAAGCAGATCTTTTCCATGCCCCCTAAAACTAATTGGCTCAATGTATCTGCCAATCGCGTATCATAAGCCTGCTGCTGTTCCCACAATGTGGGTAACGGGCATCCCCGGCTCCCCCTCCGCACTGCGATTCCCACATGGGAAGTCCCACAGAATCATCCTTCTGGGGCACTGTAACCAAACGCTTCGTCCAAATGCCTCCAACATGAGCCTTCTGCCTCTTATAGTCTTTTTCCAGCACTGTAAGCCAAAAGGCGCCCAGGCACTAAAGTACCCCATAATCTCCATAGGGATACTTGTGTAGGTACTTTTGTACCCCAACCAATAGGCCCCAAACAAAGAGATGGGGGTGGGGGCTCAATACAGATTGTCTTGTGTGTGCTTTTTTGAGATGTGATTCTTGGCTAAAACCTCCAGCAGCAGAAATAAAATCCATTCAGAGACAACCTTGCTCTGATGGGCCAAATTATTCTTTTGCAGAGAAAAGGTCAATAGGCCAAGTGCCGTTATGCAGATTTTAATGATCTGCACAACCTCCAGAAGGATGAAACCTTGAATTCCCTGTGCTCGCTGAGAACAGAAAGCCATCCTCATATCGATCGAAAGCTCTGATGGGGAAATGTCAGCCAGAGCAGAGGCGTTTCATATGCAGCGTTTTATTTGCCTCGGGCACTTTTGGCTGGGGTCAAAAATGATCCCAAATGCAACTAATGCTAGTTGTTTGTTAAGGCAGGATGTTAAATAGGCAGGATGTATTACCTTGGTGTTATTTTAGTTTGTGCTCTTCTGCTCTTTTACTGCAAAAATTGGAACCTCATAAAATAAAAGCCAATTTCTGTGGACAAATTTTCCATCCATCCATCCACCCATGTGTGAAACTGCCCAGTTTATTCAGAGATGCCATCAGTTTAATAAGCAGTTTCCACAGCCACCTTTTTAGCTTTCTTTTCAAGTCATCCACCTTTCCCCCTCCTGAGTTTTACATCCCTGAATATTTTACAGGGTACAAAGACATTTAGTTCTTCCTGTGCACAAATATGGCACAATTTCAAACAGCAAATCACTACTTATCACCGCTGCCCTGTTCTCCAAAGCAGAGAAAGGCTGAGGATTCTAGAATTACGATGGGTTGGATCATAGACCTTCCTTCTCCAGGAAAAACTGTTTATTGTTTTCACAGAAGCCAGTGGGAAAATGAAAGAGCGCATCTTTGTGGCTCCACAGCTCCTCTGCAATCTGCTCTTCATCCTTCCCAAATTTCCCTTGGAAGTTATGGGGACCAGCCAAAACCCCACAAAAGCTAAGGAGGGAGGGAGGAATCTGTACCGGTTGCTTCTGCTGCCCCTGCCAGCCAGCTGCACCCCAGCTCCTCTGCAGGCTTGCGCAGCGCGGGGGGAGCCCAGCTCGGGAGGTGTGCGGCCAGCAAGGAGACAAGCCGGCAGTGATTCCATCTGGCATAGGCTCGCCACGCGCACCGGTCGGGGCATCGTGAGGCCGTGTCCCAAACAGCAAGCCAATAAAAGGTTACATGGTGGGCCAGCGGGGCCCCAGTGAACAGCCCAGTTCCAGAGAGGCGGTTGCGTCTGTGAGGGGGCTTCTCAGATTCCTGTTGAGAGTGTGTACAAGTCAGGGGTGTTACACACGCTTCCTAGACCAGGGCAGGGCAGACTTCAGACTGGAACATCCACTTCAGTATTTTTACTAAATCCCAAGCGCACCGAGTGGGCCGAGGCGAGCGTGTCGGGGGACTGGTGCCCCTGAGGACTGGCGTCAGGGTTATGCATTCTTTCCCACAGCATCCATTCCTGGTTCCCCACCTGCAGCCGCCACGTCCTTTTTCAGCAACCCACTTCAGGGAGGAAGGAAGAGCACTTCAGTTGTTGCTAAACTGAAGTTAAAAAGAAACCCTTGGTGATCTCCTGCAACCCCCTGGAGATCGACCCCCAGATCCCAGTGCTCCTTCTTCCCATCCTTGCTCCGGATGATCCTACTGCGCATAACCGAATTGGAATCCCGGGCACCGGCCAGTGCGGGAAAGCCACGCCTGCCTCCCCAGCACCAGGAGAGGTGGCCTGTGTCCAGGGGATCCACACCGAAATGGCCCACGCTGCCTGCTCTGTCCTCTCCACTGGCTCCCGCGAAGCCCCCGTGCCCAGCTTTCTTCCTCCAGCTCCTTTTGACACGTCTTCTCCTTCCCCCTTCCCCCGTCCGTCCGTCCGTCCGTCCATCCTTCTTTCTTATTTTATTTTACTGTATGTCCTTTCAATCAGTCCATTCTTCTCCTGTGTTAACTTTCAGGTTCCCCTTATTATTATAGTGCCACATCCCGGGGCTCCGCACCTCCCACTGCTGCCGCTGCCTATGACCGCCACTAGTTATCACGGAAGCCACATGAAACTGCAGGGCGACAGCCTCCACATTGTCCCTGTCTGATGGACATTCTGCACCACGGGGAAGGACGAAGAGACCCTCTCCGCTTCTCTCCCTCACCTTTTCACCCCACCCTCCTCTTTAAGACTGCAGAACATGCTAGAGTGTCATCGTTTTGCGACTGTCCGATTGAACGCGCTTGCCCCTCGACCCGAACTCGGCCGCCCACCGGACGACGGCAGAGGCAGCTCTGCTTTGCTGCTGCGGCTGCTGCTGCTGCCGCGGCTGCTGCTAGGGCCGCGCAGGACTCCAGACCTCCCGGCCCGGCTTGTTCTGAGCCCCGTGAGCCCTCCGCTCCTCCCCGAGGCGCCCCTGGCCTCTGGTCGCGAGAGGCGGAGGCACCTGAGCAAGGCCGTCCGCACGGTCTCTGGGGAGTGGTGTGGGCAGGAAGCTGCAAAGGCCAAGCCTGCGGGTGACTCTTGGTTCCCTCCAGGTAGGATCTCTTGGGAAGCACACACCAGAATGGTCAAGCAGAGTTTCCGGAAGCCGCAGGGAGCCACCGGGCTCGGTCTAGCAGAGGGAGAAGGACCCCGAGTCGTTCTCTCTGTGTTCTACAAGGTTCTGTTGCGTGACCCATTCCCTCCCAGTTCTCCATAGGTTGGTTGAAGGAGTTAGGCCTTTCTTTCCTCACGTTTCCTTTCCTCGGAAGATTGGCTGCACCCATCCAGCATGTGATAAGCTCACAGGCTGAAGTTTTGCAACAAGCCACACACAGTCAGAGTCATGTCAGACAGGAGGATGGAGTGATGTCACACAACCAATGGGGAAAATGAAGAACTGTATAAATACATTTATAAATATAACTGTTTTTAATGCTTTGTCCTGAAGGTCTGTAAAAAGGAGGGAAAAAAGAACACGTCCCCAGTTTTCTAAAAAAACAAAAACAAAAACAAGAGGTCTTGGCAAAAGCAAGTGGAATGATCACCTGGCCCATGTGGCAGGCATACTCTTCCGAAGAGTAATTCTCCCCTTTCATTCCTGGGTATCCCCTTTTTCCATTATGCACTGGACTGTACCGGTGTGGCAGATGGGAGTGCGAGTGCAGTCTGTGGGGAGCTGCCCCCACGGTGCACATCTCAGGCAAGAGTTAGGCAGGAAAAGGGTTAAGTCGTCGGCTACAAGTGCACAACGTGTCTTTAACCATGGGCCGGCCAGCAGAAATAGACGGCTTGTTGCTGCAGGGTAGGAGTGCTGTGGGCAGGTGACACCAAACCCCGAGATTTCCAGATCCCCCGGAATCGCTTCTTGGTTTTCTAGGCTTCCGTTCTCGCCATGCATTGGGTCTGGATGGAGCTGGGGGTTCTCTTTTATCCTCGGAGTGGTGGCATTTGGAAGTAAGGGGCACACACACACAAACCAGGTCTCGGTCTTTGATGGTCATGCTTGTTCCTATGTTTTAACCGTGTCGGCTCAGCAGCTTCCCTGCTCGCGGGACTCTTCATCCCCTTGTTTCTGCCTGGGGACAAATGAAGCACAGCTTGGATTCCTGAGAATTTCACTGGACTGATTTCACCATTCTTGTCTTTGTGGACTCACAGTTGAAGCGTGCAGTGAGTGCTCTTAGGGGTGGGTGAACGAGTGTGGCTGGAGCTTGCCAAGATCCTCCGAGCCTCCCCTTGCTGCTCGCCTGTTCTCAATTTGCACTTGCGTCTGTGATCGATCTTCATTTTGTGTCAATGGAGAAATCGCACAGAATGAACAACAGTCAAGCATGAACTTGTGCATAAGAATCCCGAAGTTGGGCAAATTTCCAAAGCTGCTGAATTTCCTGCTATACAGGGGAAGCACGGGCGTTTTGAAAAGTAGTGCATTTGGAAATTTGTGCAAAGTGGAATGTGCTGGTTTGAGCCAAGTGCATACGAGTTCGAGGATCTGAGAACGTTCTGGCAGATGCATTCGCCTGCCCGTGGGGAGGGGGTGGCCGGCAAAGAGCATGCTGCACGTCTCCTGAGCAGCAGAGGAATCCTCCTACGTCCCTGAGTGCTCCAAAGAGGACTGCGGCGTGAGCGGGCCTGAATCTTGGTGCCCTGCATTACTCTCCGCCCTTGCGGATGGCACCCACTTAAGCTCCATCTAGCTTTTCTCCTCTTGCTACAACACTAGGAAATAACCTGTTGTTAAAATTGAATAATTTATGCAAACTCTAAAATGCCAGAGTCAAAATAAAAAATGCAGATGGGGCAAATTTTATGCAAAGCAGAGACATCTGTATTAATTGTGTTGGTTTACAAACGTCAGCTTGGCTCCAGCATCTCCTCCTGCCAGTGGGAAAGTATGACCTGACTCTCAAGGGGGGAAAGAGCAGGCCAGTCACACCCTCTCCCTTCTACGAATTGCCAACAGTGTGCAGAAATAAGAGATGGCTGTAGTGAAGGGCACCCTCTTGCTTTGCAGGCATCTTCCACGGGTTTCCAAAGCACCTTGTCAGCCAGGAGCCCTTTCACCTTTTTGCATTTCTCTGCTTATCCCAGAGAATGGGCCAGTTTCTATTAATTCGTGTATATTTAAGAAGATTCGGCAACTGTTTGCTTGAGGCATGGCTGCTTGCGAGGGCAAGTGTTGGCATTCCAGAGTGCCGGAGTCTCTCACACCCACTTGCACAGGTGCCAGGCAATGCTGCCACAATCCCCACAGTAGAAATAGCACGTAGGAAAATCCTTGTGTAAAGACCGCTGCTGTTTTCTCTCTCCCAGAGCACACACAGAAGCGGTGGGCCATCAGGAGCCATTTCAGTGTCTGCTCTAATTCCCTTATCCAAAATTCAGTTTTTTTCAGGTTTACGTTTAAGCCACGCTTATGCTTATTATGTCATACTGTGTTCAAAGAAATGAACACTTAAAATTGCCCACTGACAAGCATTAAATGCAATCTCTAAACCAGGAACCAAAATCAGCAACTGGGCCAGGTGCGATGGGTCAAGTCTCAGCACATCTGTGAAGAGAGCACTTAGCTGCTCCTAGTCTTGGCCATCCTGGGGAGACAAGAGCGCAAGAAGGCCGACACGGCGCACTTGCTTAAATGCTCTGGTCCCGCAAACACAAATAAAAGGGGCATAATACGGCCTTTTATTCATTGTCTCCCATTTAGCTGGTAGAAAAGGGGAGTGCGTGTGGCTCAGTTGGAGACGTGTGATGGTAGAGGACACTGCGCAAACCGTGCTTTGGCCTGGCACGGTCCTGCGGCGAGGAAGCGGTTCTGCCTGAGACGCCCTGTGCAGGGAAAGGGCCGGGCCTCCGTCTCCGCCAGCGCCCCTCCTCAAGTGCCACCCGCGAGCGTGTCCAGCGCACTTGCCAAAGACCTCCCTGCACTGGCCCCGGCTGCTCTGAGCCGTGGCTGGGGAACGGCATCGTGAGACAGGATTACAGCGAAGTTTCTCTGCTCGGGGATTCTGTGACGGCATTATGCAGGCGACAACCACCACTGCTCAACTAGATTTCACCGGGACTGGACTGTGCTGAAAATGCAGAAATTCTATCCATTAATTAATACTTTGTTATTTGCGGGGGGGAAATGGCTGCTTTGTAGGGAGGTGATGTGTGTAATGTGAAGGCAATTCCTCTTGTATATAAGCCCATTCTGCATCTTCATCATGCTAGTGATTGAAACCGGCTCACCTCATCGTGTAGATAAAGAACGCGCTGTCTGTACTGCTCAAATCGCATTGTGCTCACTGAAAGCAAAGCTCTGTGTTCAATAAAGCACAGCACAAATTCAGAATCTGTGGGAACCACTCAGCCTGACAAGGCCTTTTTCGTGGCAACTTCCAGTAGTGCGTGCACGTGTGTGTGTGTGTGTGTGTGTGTGTGTGTGTGTGTGTGTGTGTGTGTTTCACCACATTTTTAAGCCTAAAGAAAAGATAAAATGCAGGGAAAGAAAAACGCACAAAAATGAACGAAAGATATCTATGCAAAAGGAAAAAATGAAAATATGCTGGTGTCTTTTGTACCTCTGCCCAGGTATCCCGCTTCTTCCACTTTTGCTGCCATAACGTCTTCCTCCATTGCTCTTCCTTTGGTTTGCTCCCCTCCCGCAGAGGGCTGCCGGATGGCCACCCACCGAAACAGGTGGACTCAGAACTGGGGCTGTTCCCCCCTCACCTTTGCTGGGGCACCTCGTGCCTCCTCTGGCTCCCTGCTTGCCCAGCGCCCCTTGGCGTCCTCTCGTCATGGTACTGGCTGGGAGCTTGGACACCCTTGGGAGGAAATCTTGGGGAAGAAAGACCCTTCTGCCAACGCTGCCCTCTGCCTCCTTCTTCCTGTCACTCGCCGTCTTGTGCTTTCCTTTCTTCTACTGGCCTCTTTTTCTTCATTTCCTCCCATAGTATAATACGTTTCTAAAGTCCTCTAGTTCACTCGAGTGGGGAAGAGTTGATGGCGTTGACTTTTCCATGTTCAGAGAAATGGGACTACAGGCTCACGCCTCCTTGGCCAACACGTCTCCTCGCGAGTCTGCCTAAGGACCGGTCACATAAAGGGCGCAGAGCGATGGGATGGGATTTCCGCTACAACAGAACCTTTTGCCACCTGTAAATGTTCTTTAAGCAACTTTAGTGGTGATGAGCCCTTAGGCTGACAGGTCGGTTGCATGTTTTCTCAGCCATGGATAGTAAACATGGAAATACAGAGGAAGATTCTGAGTTAATCACAGACCGATGTGAAGATATTAAACAGAAAAAGCGGGCAAATAAGACTCTCATTTCCTCTTGACTCTTCCTTTAAAAAGGGTGAACTGTCTTCCCTTTATTGAACTGTCTCTCCAAAGTCAGTACCCGCCCTCAGCACAGGGTCCCTCGCGGCAGTGTGCAAGGCACACTTCCCTTGAGGAAACCGCAGGCCAGGCCAGCCGCGGTCACAGGGCCAAGCCGTGACCGGCCGGGTTCCAGCTATGCGTGTTTCCACACACACAAGCAAAAATGGCCTCTGGTACAAGGCCATTCTGTCCATCC